ACATTCATATGAATATGAAGTTGGTCACAAATATACATTTCTAACCCATTTGCAGTATGTTGGCCTTCTATGCTCAGATAACAAAATTTAACATTAATATTTCAAGATTCCTTAACAGATAATTATAAGGTTAGTATGTGTTAGTCTCATTTGAGAAGTATCCACTCTTTCTCTACTTTTGTTCTTCCTTACAAACCCCTCTTAACCTAAAATGATATTTGGCCTTAACCATATTCAGTAAAATATAAATAGACCATGGAGACAAGCAACTTAATCTGGTCTACCAATGATTGACTGAACTCCCTTCTATATAAGTGTTCAGGTTTAATGCTTGCTATATTTGAAATTGATTAACAACATCATAAAAACTTCAATAGTTAGTTACCATAAAATGGCAATTTCTTTCATTAAAATGTTACAAATATCAGAACAGCTAGAAGATATACAATGGTAAAACAAGTAAACAAGCAGAATGTTACATAGTGGTTTACACTTGATACACTAATGTAACAATTACAAGTGGATTGGGAAACTATTTCCGATTAAGGAGTTGGGAATAGAATTATTTTATATGACAAAACAAAGATTAAAATTTTAAAGAGAAGGGGACATAAGAGGAGAAAGAGAAGGGACCAAAATTGGAAACTCAAATAATTTGCATGTTTCCCAATTAGCCTTTTGATAATTTAGGAGAGAGGAGATTTTGAGTGCTATTGGATGTAAGGTCTGACCATCATCACGGTTTTTCCTATTTAGTGAATAATCCTATATCAGACATTTAAGAATAAGGACTGAGCAAATTAAAATTCATTGATGTGCAAGACTTAGATTATTAGAACAAACAGAAACTTAGTAAAAGATAAACCACATAGAAAGTTAGAAGCAGTGTAAACTTATTACAATAATGTAAGTGGATTATAAGTGAGCATTTCTCCTTAAGGAATTTGCAACTAAGGCATTATAAACAAAAGAGAAGAAAAGAATAAACTTCTGGAAAGAATTTTCAAAGTAGGGAAACAAGGGAAGAGGAAGAGAAAGGGCCAGAAACTGGAAAAACAAAAGTTTGGTCACTACCTTTCCCATTTAGATGTTTAGCTGAGTTATGGGGAATGGGATTTGAGTGCCAGACCTCTTTTAGACGTAAGGTGTGGCTATTATCACATTTTTCAAATCTGTTGATAATCCTTCATCTCATCTCATAGTTAAAAATAAGGATTTAATGTTACACTCTGATATGGCTGGTGACATTTATAGATTGTCTTAAGAGCCTATTCCCTGAAACTGGATGAAATTAAATACAAAATCTACGGACTTTTCAACCATGATGATGAATCTTGATTAGCCACGGCCAACAACATAATATGACTTGTAAATGATATATATTTGCCTTAGATAATTGCTTTCTTTAAGAAGTGTTGCAACGGCATATCAAATATTTCCCTTTTTGTTTGTATTACCTTGTTGTGTCTTAGAGTTGGACTTGTTTGCCTTTTGTCATTCTGTTTTAGATTACTACGTATTCTTATTACCGTTTAAAAAATTTTGCCTTTTCATGTTACCGTTTTGTTTGATTTTCATCTTTTTGATTGTTTCGTATATTAAAATTTATATTAAAAATATTTAACGATTCAATATTCTTCTCTATTAAAAATTCATCTTGCATAAATCTTGAATATATAATCTTTCTACAAAATTGAAAGCCTTCATTCCTTACAAGCTATGCATTTATATTTGCTCAATTAGTTAAGTTGTTATATATAATTAAATATTATGTAAATCTTTTTTTAGTGATGAAATTATGCAAACCTTATGCAGATAGTGGGAGACAGCTGAACTTGACCCATTTAGAAGAATTTGATTTGAGAAATAATCTCCTTAATGACAGCATATTTGCATCGCTTAGCGGGCTTTCAAATTTGAAGTATTTGCTTATAAGCTTCAATCAGTTAAATGGATCAATAGATATGAAAAGTAAAATTACTTTTTTTCCAAAAATTTTGATTTTGTTAACAAAAATCTTAGTTCATGTTTCAAGATGATATAACAAATAAGTTCATCTATTTCCTTTCTTTAATGATGAAATTATGTAAATTATTTATAGATATTGGGAGACAGTTAAAATTGACCAATTTCTAAAGGCTTGATTTAAGTCATGATCTAATTAATTATTACTTTTCAACCAAAATTTTAACTCTGTTATAAATACTTAAAAAAATATCTCACCTAAAAAAAATCCTCTCTGGCTTCGGCCAGAGTTTGACGTTGGACCGCCGCGTCGGTCGCAGCCTGGGTCACCGTCGGTGGTAGCCGTTGGTGGTCGTCGATTGCGAAAAATATCAAAATACTCCCAAACGTTCACCTCAACGCCCTCTTTCTAGATCCGATGTCTGTTTTACCAGAAACAGCCCCGATCGACATAAATCGAGGCTTGAAGTTTTCTACCTTTTTTTTTTTAAAGAGACTAATGTGATTTTTTCTTTTTGCTTTTGCACGTAGGGCAGCGCTGGGTTCCTCCCTGCGGGGAGGATTATGTTTGTCCTTTTTTTGTTTCTTTTTTTTTTTGTTTGGGTATTTGGGTATAGTTGGTGTGGGTTCTATTTAGGGTTGTTGAAGGGAGAGGTTTCATCTGAGCTTGGGGATTTCTAGTATTCGAGTGGAATGAATGGGCTTTTGATATTCGAAAGAGAGAGAGATCCCAAGGAGAAAAAGCTAGAGGTTTTTAAGGAGCTTCAAAAGGGGAACATTTGGTGGCTATAAGGTGGCTGTAGGTGGGTTGGGGTAGGTTGTAGAAGTGGGCTATAGGGTGGCTAGTTGGTGGTTGCGGCACCGTTCACCAGCCACCCTACTTTTTGTTTTTTTGTTTTTCCCATTTTCTCTTTTTTTTTTAATTAATTTTTTAAAAAAATATATATTAGTATTATTATTATTATTATTAATTATAAAAGATCCGGACAAAATCTGGTGTCTACACATCTAAAAATATCGAACATAATTAACACCTTAAAATTTTATGTTTGGTCAAATCTTCCATTTCATTTTTTATCTATTATTAAAATATTAAAAAGATTTTTATATTAATAATTTACTATTTTTAAATATATCTTAAATTAAATTAACAATATTGTTTAACGAGAACAAAATAAGCAATTAACCTTAATAAAAACTTTTAAATATTTTGTTCAATACTTGATTGAGTTGAAACTAGCAAATGGTCCGACACATAGACGAGTCTAATAACAAGCTATCATAGAAACATTTACATTATTTTATATAGCCAATGTTCAATTTATGGTGACAAATTATAAAGATGATTAATATTATGAATGGTCTTTAAATTACAAAAAAATATTTAATATGTTACTTGAATTTGGAACATTTCTAATATAGCACCTAAAATATAATAAATTTTAAAAATAATAACATCCTAATCGTGTTATTTGCAAGGAGTAATTGTGGAGCTGCAAAAATAATTGGCTTTCTTAATTCCCTAAAAATATATTATTTGAAAAAAAAAAAGTGTCCATGAACTAAGAGGAGCCGACCGTGGTTGACATATAGAAATCTTAGGTTTGGTGGGCTCTGCATTTCATTTTTATTTATAATTAAAATATTAAAAATATATTTATACTAATCTTTTAATGTTTTTAAATATATTCTAAAATAAAATTAAAAAATAAATTATTTTATAATATAATAACACAATCAATCTGAACTAGACTTAAAAGACTTTGACAAGTCAAGGTCCTTGCGTAGACTCTGTTTGGTTTCCTTTCCTTTTTACCAAAAAGGAGTGTTAATGTCTTTCGTTGTCTTCTCTCATCGAAGGTAAATTTCGGGAATTGAAACTTGAATAAACTAATTTATTACTAGGATCACACTAAGATCACACTTTCTTGAAAGTGGCCGACATACTTATAGAAAAATTTTGCAATGAGATAAAGTAAGTGCCTTTGCGTGTAAAACGAAGCACAAGACTTTTTATTTTCCACAAATTAAAACGTTATTCACGCTAAACTAAAACTAATAGTGAAGATATGACTATAAATAATGTGAAGTGTCAAGCAAGTTGGAGTTAATTTCTCAATAACTTTCTATGGGGGCTGGCCAACAACCAATGTTGCAGTTGCTTTTAAGTGACCAATATTTACTTTTTGTACTTAGTTTTTTCTATTTCCATTTTCCTTTTTTTCACTTTTTAGGACTTTTTTTTTTTGTATAAAAGCCAAAAGTGCAATTGGATATTAAAGTAAGTATTTTTTGAAAACTAAAAATTAAAAAAAATATTTTTTAAAGTATTATTATTTATCATATTATTCAATTTAATATTATTTTTTATAATATATTTTTTAAGAAAATCCCATGCAAAGCGAGGGCTTTATTCTAGTGATATATGAAAGAATTTTTTTATCCTTTATTAATAGTGTAGACACCCTATTTTGTCCAGGATTCTTTGTCAATTGAGACTAATCCAAGCTCAGTTGCAGGGATTTTTATTCATTTTTATTTTATATTTTTTTATTTCATATTTATCATTTTTTTATTATCTGATTATTTTTTTAAAAAAAAAGGAAAGATTGAGATTAAGTTGGATGATGATCAAAAAGTATGATTGGTGGCTAATCTTTAGCATTGGAGGACTAAGTGGAATAGAACTGAAATTCTATAAAAAAACAGCATGGTTTTTATAAAACGAAAAAAGAGGGAGGAGAAATCGGAATAGGAGAGAAGAAGAATCCGAATAGGAGACGGAAAAAAAAGGGGAGAAAAAAAGAGAGAGGAGTAATCTGAATAAGAGGAGGAGTCCGAATAGGAGAGAAGAAAGAGGGGGAAAGCCCCCATCTCCACCAGCCCTCAAGGCCTCTCTTTGGTGGGCGATCTCCCCTTCCATGAAGTGTTTAGAGACCAAGACATCGCATTTGTCAATGGTGACGTGCCTTTGACTGCCCTCTGAGCAAACGGCAGATGTGACATAGCTTGGAACCTCGGGTTGAGCTGCTGAAATGGAGAAGCTAGCTAGACAGCCCGTGTGTGACCATGTAAAGGCGAAATCATTGAAGCAGGATCTTAAGAGGGAAAAGGAATTCTGGAGATGTCAGTCTCGGGTTCAGCGGCTTCAAGCTGGTGATAAAAAGACAAGTTCTTTCCCATGCTTCGTGTGTTCAGAGGCGAAGGCATAATCAAGTCAGGGATTGGTTTTTATGACAGTGGTATGTGGAAAGAGGATCATGAGGGTATTCGGGGTGTGATACATGACTTTTCCACCATTTTCACTTCCTGCAGTCCGTAAAATATTACAGAAGCAGTGAGTGGTATATCTCAGGTATTACACCATTTAGAAGAATTTGATTTGAGAAATAATCTCCTTAATGACAGCATATTTGCATCGCTTAGCGGGCTTTCAAATTTGTAGTATTTGCTTATAAGCTTCAATCAGTTAAATGGATCAATAGATATGAAAAGTAAAATTACTTTTTTTCCAAAAATTTTGATTTTGTTAACAAAAATCTTAGTTCATGTTTCAAGATGATATAACAAATAAGTTCATCTATTTCTTTTCTTTAATGATGAAATTATGTAAATTATTTATAGATATTGGGAGACAGTTAAAATTGACCAATTTCTAAAGGCTTGATTTAAGTCATGATCTAATTAATTATTACTTTTCAACCAAAATTTTAACTCTGTTATAAATACTTAAAAAAAAAAAAACACACATTTCATGTTTTCAAATGATTTAATGAAGTTTATTTATTACATTTTTTTCCAGACTTAGGTGTTTTTACCAACTTAGAGGAACTGGATATGAGCTATAATGATTTGACCGAATTTGTAGCCTGTAAAGGTATGGATTTAAATAAATTTTCTATTTTTATTTGTGAGGTTTATAATGATGTAGATGTTTTAATGATCCACAAATTTAGCATATTAAAATTTAATGCTCAATTTTTTAAAGGAAGAAATTAATTATTTATTATATGATTTTTACTACAATACTACAATTCTCTAATTATAATAAAGAATTAGTAAGAATCCACCACTTATAAGTGTGATCTCCATATAAAATTTGTTGGACCTCACACAATTTGGAATTGTGATTACTTAATTGTACTACAATGATTGTAGGTGAAATGCTCTCATTAAAATTAATGCCCAATGTTTTAAAGGAAGAAATTCATTATAATTTGATTACTAATTAGAATATGATATATATTTGCATTAGATAATTGCTTTCTTTAAGAAGTGTTGCAGCTGCATACCAAATATTTCCCTTTTTGTTTGTATTAGCTTGTTTGCTTTTGCCATTCTGTTTTAGACTACTACTCATTCTTATTCCCTTTAAAAAAATTTTGCCTTTTCATATTGCAGTTTTGTTTGATTTTCATCTTCTTGATTGTTTCGTAAATTAAAATTTATATTAAAAATTGTTAACATTTCAATATTCTTCTCTATTAAAAATTCATCTTGCATAAATCTTGGACATATGATCTTATCTACAAAAATAAAACTTCACACTTATTTATTTTTTCCATTTACAGAATATAAGAGTTTGAAAAAGTTAAAAGTTCTTTATCTAGATGGGGTTTTCACCAATGGAAGCATTCCATTACTATTAAAATTAGTAGAGGCATTCCCATCAGTTAAGACCTTCTATCTACTAGAGAATTACTTAAACAAGACTATGGTTGCTCAGGATCAAGGTCAGTCATTAATTTATTCGAAAAGGACGTAAATTAGAAGTTGTTTATTGATTAACATTGAATACTACCTCTTATACTATGACTACTCAGAATTGCATGTGCGGAGCAATGTGAAGGAAATATTTCTAGGCGGTTCCTATCTCGACAATAACATTTTGCAAAGCATTGGAGTATTCACTTCTCTTAAAACTTTGTCTTTAAGTAACTGTGGATTTAGTGGTTCCTTACCTAATCAAGGTAAATTAAATACTCTATAATTTCTCCAATATAACTCATGGAATACATCTATTTCCAATAATCCTTTTTTCTATTTCTTTCATCTAATATCTTTTATATATATTCTATTTTGGAAATCAAAATTTAATTAAAATTTCTTCCATGAATTTATAAAATTTTCAGGTTGGTGTGATCTAAGGAACCTTAAAAGTTTGGATATCAGTAGGAATGCACTTGAGGGGATACTTCCTTATTGTTTGGGTAACTTGACGTCTCTTCTTCAGTTGGATATCTCCTACAATCAATTTACAGGAAATTTGACTCCTTTAGCAAATCTTTCATCACTTGGATTCGTCTTCCTTTCAAGAAATCATTTTCAAATTTCAATGCCATTCCTTGCAAACCTTCCAAATCTCAAATTTCTCTTGGGTGATGAAAACAAGATGGTAGTAGAACCTGATTCCTTTCATACTTCAATTCCAAAGTTCCAACTAAATTTCATCAGTTTGTCAAAGTGCACAACAGATAAAGGACTTAGCCTACAACCTCTTAAGTTCCTTTATTACCAATATGACTTGAGATATGTTGATCTTTCCTATAACTATTTCAGTGGAACAGTCCCGTTATGGTTGCTAGAAAATAACACAAAATTAGAAAATCTCTTCTTATTGGGCAATTCTTTCACCGGTCCTCTCTTGTTACCGCAACTTCCTAATCCTAATGTGTCTGTAATTGACATATCTAATAACAAATTACAAGGTCAAATTCTGACAAATATATGTTCATCTTTTCCAAATTTGGAAAGGTTATTCTTATCTAAGAATGCCTTTGAAGGTAATATCCCTCCTTGTTTAAGTGGCATGAACACTTTATCAATTTTAGACCTATCGGACAATCATTTGTCTGGAAGAGTACCAGAAAAGTTGATCATGAGAAGCTCATTAGATATTCTTAGGCTATCAAATAACAACCTAAATGGAAAGATTGTTCCTATGATGTTCATCAACACAAGCAAGTTGTCAAAATTGTATTTGGATGGCAATAATTTTGCTGGAGAGATTCCTGATATTGATGTCTTTGCTACTGATTTTTCATATTCATCACTAGAGGATATTGATCTCAGTAATAACAGTTTTAATGGAAAGCTCCCAAGATGGAAAGGGAATGTACCGTCTTTGGAGAGATTGGCTTTGTCCAACAATCATTTCGAAGGTTCTATTCCAATGGAATTGTGCAACTTGTATGAGCTTGAATTTTTGGAGCTTTCTCAAAATAATTTATCTGGCTCTATTCCTTCTTGTTTCAATTCACCATATTTGAGACATGTCCACCTGAAGAGAAACATACTAAATGGTCCATTGACACTTGCTTTTAATAGCTCTTCATTAGTGACATTAGATCTTAGAGGGAATAATTTGACCGGTGATATTCCAAAATAGATTGGCACATTTTCTGCTTTAAGCGTCCTTCTTTTGAAAGAAAATCATCTAGACGGTGGAATTCCAGTTCAATTATGCAAGTTGTATTCATTGAGCATCATAGATCTTTCTGAAAATATGTTTTCTGGTCCTATACCTTCTTGTTTGGGTAACTTAACTCTGGCAATGAAAGAGGAAAAGTCTTTTGTAGATGACCCTTGGTATATAAGATATACAATGGAGGATCTATCTATTTTGATTGATTCACGTGTTTATCCCCATAGCTACATGGTAGAAGAGATAGAGTTTACAACAAAGAGTATGTCCTACACATATGGTGGTGACATTCTTGAGTACATGTCTGGGATTGATTTATCTTGCAACAAGTTAACAGGGCAAATCCCTCCCGAATTGGGAAACTTGAGTGAAATCCATTCGTTAAACTCATCACACAATAACTTGATCGGAGTCATACCTTCATCATTTTCAAAGCTTAAGCAAATCGAGAGTTTGGATCTTTCTTACAACAACTTGACTGGTAGAATCCCTATACAGCTGGTTGAGTTGAACTCTTTAGAGGTTTTTAGTGTGGCACACAACAACTTGTCAGGTAGTATTCCAGAACCAAAAGCTCAGTTTGGGACCTTTGATGAAAGGAGTTACGAAGGAAACCCTCTTCTCTGTGGGCCTCCATTGCAAAATAACTGCTCTAAAACTGACTCACCATCAATAGTACCACCTACAACAGACGATGAAGGAGAAGGTAGTTTCATGGACACATATGTTTTTTGTGTGAGCTTTCTGGTTTCATATGTAATTGTTTTATTAGGAATTTTTGTTGTTCTATACATAAATCCATATTGGCGACAAGCATGGTTTTCTTTCATTGAGAGTTGCATCACTACCTGTCGCTACTCAATTGTGGGCAATTTTCTTGAGTTATACATCTTCAGAAGATGTGCCTAGGTATCATGGGAGCTCTTATGATTTGCCTTTTGTTTGAATGTGGTGATGAAGATTTGGATAAAGTTGATTTTGTTGTCAGAAGAAATTTGGTGATTTGATCTTTTAAATGGGGGATTTCTTTTAACTTACTGTTCTGTTAAAATAGTTGTAGGAAGAGTTGTGGATTTTGCACTTTGAACAGAGCTTTATGTCTCTGTCGAAACTCTATTTTTGGTATTTGTTTTGTTTTGAAGGAAGCCTGTAGCTTTGTGTCTTGTTGATTTTATTTTCTACACAAATATTCAATTCTCTATTCTCCATCATCTACAAGTTATTAGTAATATCTTTTCCAAGTTATTATTCAAATTGGCAAATTTTTCCTCATTAGTTTTGACTTAGTTTTGAGCTTCTAGTAAATGATTTCTGGCATAAATTGTAGTGAAGGCAAAGATTGCTGGCTATGGCCTACCAAGAACGTTTCTAAAGTTGTATTGGTTGGCTTCATTTGTTTTAACCAGATTTTATATCGATCGTAAAAAGCTTTTTCAATTTATTTTCTTTGATGCTTAAAAAATTAGATTTTAAACAAAAACAATACTAATTGTATTAGTAAGAATTTGAATTTTAAATGAAATACATCACCATAAGTCAATAATTAAGAATATATAAAATTTTTTAAAAGAAATTCTATCATATTAAAGTAATATGAAATAGTCAAGAATGTGCTTTGTTTTTTATTATTTATCAATTTCTCATTTCTAGCTCTTTTATAGAGGTTTTTTTATTTAAAATTACTTAATATTTGTTGTCTTTCGGAAATTAGTATTAGTTTATAAAATGGGCCAAATAAGCATTTATTGTTGAAAATATCATTTTGATCGCAAAATGCAATTATTTTCTTTTATAGGGTTACAAATTATTCCAAAATAAAAAAATTAGGTTTATATATCTCATACACATGCAAACCCCATCAACTAAATAAATTAAATGTTGAATCTTCCAAAGCAACAATGAGATCATGACTTAGTAGTTATATTATAATTTATTAATTAATTATTCAGTAATTGTAATTTTATTATGATATAATAATTGATTATTCAGTTAATTATATGAATATAATACTTGATTATGATTATAACGATTATAAAAAACTAGAATTTTTGAATCCATTCTTTGCATGGTTAATTTTTATTTTTAAAAAAAGCTTAAATAATATATACATATAAATAATGATTTCAAAAGTTCAAAGAGTTTCTCTTTAAAAAAACAACCCTCATACTACTTTATTCAAAAATTAAAAATAAAAAATAAATTTAAAAAACATAAAAAATAATAAAAATAAAACAGCAAAGGTATCAAAGGAAAAAACAATTAAAAAAAAAAGAATAACCTCATATCTAACTGTAGCATTTCCATGAAAGAAAATGAAATAATGGAGTAAAATCCTCATCCCCTTTCACCGTAAAGAACTTATGTGTAAAATTGATCACATATAAACCAATAAATAATCATAAAATAAGTACAGCAGGTCCACAAATAATTAATAATTGCTATACGAAGATTACAAAAAATAAAACACATTTAATTATTTCTAATAAAATTGATTATATTAATTTTTTAAAATATTTATTTTTAAATCATTGATTAATGGAGAATGAGAAAAGATTAAAATTAATCTATACCTTATTACTAAGGATCCAGAACATCAACTTAACATTTGTAAATTGAATTACTTAATTTCATCTAATGACACTTGTCCTAAAAAATTATATAGGGTTTGCATCCATGAGGTATCGATTGGAAACCACGGCTATAGTTAGGAACATAGATATGAATATATATATATCTATATATATATATTCATAGAATTTTTTGGTTTTTTTCTACATTGATCCAACTAAATTTAAATAAAATAAAAACTATATATATATATTCATAGAAAATTTTGGTTTTTTTTCTGCATTGATTCCACGAAATTTAAATAATAATAAAAATAATAAAATAAAATTTTATCTATTTTATACAACAAAATACAAGTAAAATGACTAAAAAAAATCAAATCTATTATACTATAATAGTTGTCCAATTATGTACATGGATACACTCAAACAATTATATATAGAAATTAGCAATTATAAAATAGTGTTATTCAACTTTTTTTCTAATAATGGGATAAGATATATTTAAATTTATCATTTATATTTTAGATTTGGGGAAAGGAGATTAGGTTGGGTTAAATTAATGTTAGAGGGGTTTATCATTTATAATTTTTTCAAAAATATAATCTATTTATATATTGTTGAATTATATAAAAAGTGCTAATAATCTTGCAGTCATTTGGTAGTTAATATGGCATTAAACTCCTAATTTTTATGATCATAATTTTATTCTTGACATATTCAAATATAAAAAAATTAAGGGTTCAAATTTATATTAGAATGATCATTGATTAGTACTATACACCTACCAACATCAAGTCAATATTGATTTTAAATCTTAACACTAATTAACTCATTTAAAAATAATTAATTAAAATAAAATTTTAAAAAACAGGACAACCTAAATCGTTTTCTCAAATCTTCATCTAAAAAAGTTGATAACAACTTAAGATAAAAAGTTAATCACTGATCTCAAAAAAAAAAAAAAAAACTCCCAATGAAGATTTGATTCCATTCTCTTTTGTTCTTTGCTATAGATGGCTGTAACTTCTAGCAAAAAATGATAAATATTTATGGAAGAGATATCAATGCGGTGATGTTCTTAGAGACTGCGAGAGGAATATTAGAGGTTTGTTTTATGGCCCTCTTGGTGATCAGGAGTCAAATACTGCAGAAGCTTTGGCCATTAAGACTGCACTTCAAATGTTTCTTCTTCACCTTGGCTGGGAAAGGGAGCTCTAGTTTTGAAACCAGATTCAAAAGTAGCAGTGAGTTTGATATTTGCGGAAATTGATAGGCTACTGGAAATCATAGGAGAGGTTAAGTTTGTACACATTTTTAAAGAAGCCAATTACTTTGCTGATTCATTGGCAAGGAAGGGGTACAGTCTTGTTTGTTTTAGGCATGGCTGTAATATGATAATATTTCCTGTGGTGAATAGGTAGTTTCTGGAAATATTGTTATCAGGTGTAAAGACTGTTTCTGATCAATAAAATTGTGTTAAATGAGAAAAAAAAAACGAAGAGAAGTTTTCAATACATTCTTGATTAAAAACCTAAAGCCTAATCTAAAAGAAGTAAGTTTTAATCAAAATTAATGAAAAAATTAAGAAGATGAGAAAAGAGAGGAGAAATTGCTAGAGCTTCTTCATTTTTTCATTAAAGCCCTAGTTCATATTTTTTTTCAATTAATGGTTAGTTATTACTTGTTAAATATGTTAATTAAGGAGAAAGGTTATTATGGATTAGTCTGGTTTCACTTTCATACATAAATAGGTTAGTTAAGGATTAAAGGCTATTATGGATTAATTTGGTTTTGCTCTCATAGAAGCGTGATATTAGTTTCAATCTTTTAAAAAAATATAATGTGGTATTTTATTATTGATTTTCAAAAATTTACTTCTAGGATCATTATGATGTTAGTGAAACCCAAAAAAATATGTAGTATAAATTTTATACATATAATTAAATATTATATGACTTCTTATTAAATTTTTTTTTTATTTGGCTTTGATTTAAGGGATTTCTTTTCGAGCCATTGCTAAGAAAAATGGACATTTTGTGAGGAATTGAGAGTGCCACCTAATACATCCTTCATGGCAAATAAAGAAAACAACCAATGCTTTTTTTTTCTTCTTTTCCTTTTTGCTATTTTTTCACAAATTTTGGATTGCCATTTTTGTTTAATTTGGGCTTAGAAAGCCCCAAAATAATTTGGATTGCCTTTCCTTTTCTCTTTCCTTTTAAGATTTTACTCTCTTTTTCTTTTTGTATTTTTGTAAAAATTTGTTTGCCGATGAACTTGTATCATTAAAAATAAACTTACATTTGTTAAAAGGAAATAAAATTTTTTCAAAAAAATTACCTTTAGATCTTTCAAACAAGTTTAGATTTAAGTAATTTTTAATGACTTGCCTTTAGTTTTTTTCGTTTTGATTTACTAGAATTTGAGACATCCACTATGTGGGTGAAAAATAATGTATTGAAAATAAATTTGTAAAAAAAGTGTATGCAGGTATATATATTTTTTAAAGCGGATAGGCGTATGTGTCTTTTAATTTATACGTGAAGCATATCAATAACCTCTCCTTTTTATGGATGTTTCTTCAAAGTTTTTTTTCATAGCCATAGTAGGGTGGGTTTTATCATAGGTGTTTACATCATGAAGTGTTGGGTACTTGGGTGTAATTGTTCTTTGGTGTAGTACCTTGATATTAGGTTCTTTGTTATAGTGTTCACATTTGGGTTCTTTTTGATGCATCATGTGGGTTGTACTGGTGTATGGATCTTTTCTTTTCTAGCTACAGCTAGCCTCGTAACCTTTGAGTTACATTAATAAATTGTGGCTTACCAGAAAAATGTATTTTTTCATTTTTAAATTTTTTTATATTGTTATTTATTTTTTTATCAATTCACTCAACTGAACTTGTGTCATTAGACTCATAACATCAAATTTAACCAAAAATTTTATATTAGCATTAGACTTTTGACACACTGAAAAAATTGTTGCTTTGAACAAAATTGTGTATTGAAAAAAATAATATGTAAAAAAAGATGAGTAATTTTTTAAAGTGAAAACATATTTGTATCTTTTATTTAAATTTTTTATAATAAGTTTTTTGCCAATTCACCCAACTAGCTGGTATTACTTGAGACATCAAATTCAATTGGGAGTGTATGACTATAAATATCTATATCTATACTAATATTAAAGGGATGTTATGTCGATCAATTCAAGGAACTGATGTAAATGCAGCAAAGATTAGGACTTTCATGTGACGGGTTTGTCACGGTATTATACAGGTAATGGTTAATTTGGCTAGAAGGCAGATTCCAGTGGAGAAAACTTGCTTGCGGTGCAGGGTGGTGAATGTCCCTTGGCAACATTA